TTAGATTTCTTTCAAACCTTATTAGCTCACTAGATTTATATATTTCCCACCTTCTGATCGAGTGAGACCGCTAGATTCCCTCTACTTTTTGAGAAACGAGCGTTTCCGTCCTCCCTGGCCCCACTTGCACTATAAGTGCGAAATGCCGGCCAGACTGGCTGATGCACCATTTTCTCTACACATGTACGTTAGTTACCTTTAAAAAACTTACGTTCACTCAATTAATATATTTCCTACCTTATATTTGAGTGAGACCACTAGATTCCGTGTACTATGCGAGATCTGAGCGGTTCCGTTCTCCCAGGCATTTGCACTCTAAGTTCCCGTACTGACCGACCTGGCCAATGCACCATTTTTTAAATACATATGCATTAGATTCCTTTCGAATCTTATTAGCTCACGAGATTTATATATTTCCCACCTTCTGATCGAGTGAGACCGCTAGATTCCTTTAACTTTTTGAGAAATGAGCGTTTCCGTTCTCCTTGGCCCTACTTGCACTATAAGTGCGAAATGCCGGCCAGACTGGCCGATGCACCCTTTTCTCGACACATGTGCATTAGCTTCCTTTCAAAAACTTACGTTCACTCGATTAATATATTTCCTACCTTCTATTTGAGTGAGACCACTAGATTCCGTGTACTATGCGAGATCTGAGCGGTTCCGTTCTCCCAGGCATTTGCACTCTAAGTTCCCATACGAACTGACCTGGCCAATGCACCATTTTCCATATACATATACATTAGATTCCTTTCAAACCTTATTAGCTCACTAGATTTATATATTTCCCACGTTCTGATCGAGTGAGACCGCTAGATTCCCTTTACTTTTTGAGAAATGAGCGTTTCCGTTCTCCTTGGCCCTACTTGCACTATAAGTGCGAAATGCCAGCCAGACTAGCCGATGCACCATTTTCTCTACACATGTGCGTTAGTTACCTTTCAAACCCTTACGTTCACTAGATGAATATATTTCCTACCTTCTATTTGAGTGAGACCACTAGATTCGCGGTGGTGCTCCCTCGGCGTCGCCATGGTCCCTCGGGCGAAACCGATCAGCCCGGCCATCTCTAGCTGGGGCTCGATGGCTTCCTTCCAGGTGAGAATGTCGGGTCGACCGACCAGCGGAGGGGTGACCGAGATCCTGTCCAGCGTAAACTTGAAGTAGCCGTAGCTCGGCGCAATCCCGCCTGCCGTCACCTGGGACGCTGACATCGGCGACAATCCGCTTCGTCGTCCTCCGACGTCGCCCTGCGAGGAGCGTGCAGCCGCCGACGACTGCACCCCTCGCGTCTGAACACCGCCGATTTCACCGGCGTGTATCACACCTCGGTGCCTCGACGTGCCTCCCACACTGCTGCCGACCTGACCTCCACCGGCGTTGACGCCCACGTCGACGCCGCCGTCGTTGTTCACTGGTCGAGGAGAGGCTCCGCTGCCCACACGGAGCGGAGTCCGGCTTCGACGACTGCCCAGGGTATCGCCCCATACTCCTGGGCCTCATGGCGTCTCCTCGCATCCTCCAGCCGTCTCTCTAGGGTGTCCATCACCTCGGCGTCGCCTACGTGCACGCTAGTGACTGTACGGCTATCGATCGGTATGTGCAAAGTCGGCTAGACTGAACTACGTCGCGGTGTCGTCCACGCTCACCGCACCATGCGGAGATAACTGCAGCAACGGGAGCTAGGCTACGGGCTAGGCACGTGTGCTCGTGTGATCTCTGCGTTCGTTCACTTAGTCGTTTCCTTGTGTTCACGCTTCTTGCTGGTTCACGGGGGAATTGGCAAGAGTTTCACTAGGAAAACATGACAACAATGATAGTAACAACATTGGCATTAAGACTACATCAGTGCTAGCTAGGCTGCTGATCGACCTCCAGCACAGCACAGTCGACCGCGCTCCAGCGCAGCAGTGCTCGCACCGCTCCAGCGTTGCAGAGTAGCGGTTCGCCAACGTTGCAAGTCCACGGTGTGCCAGCGCTGCACCAAGTCCGCTGCACAGCGTTGCATCCGCAGGATAACGGTGCACCTGCTTCGCAGGTGCACGCAGCTGGTTGGTGCGCACTTCCTCGTCACATTCACAACGCAGACGCCTGGCATACTCCACGCCAGCGACTGTGTCCACCAGCCACGTCGACCTCGTGATACCACCCCCAAGGTCGGCCTCGCAGTCTCTACCCTGGCGACACTCGCGCATGTCGCTCGGGTATCCCGATCGACCGGGCAACCACGCTTGTTCGGCTCACGCAGTCCGTAGCCGGCCACGCATGCCCGGCGTCCCCAGTCTGGCATCCAGGCGCACACAGGACGCCTCTGAACCCCCAGGTTGGCGTCCAGACGCCCAGGACGCCGACCAAAACCTCCAGAGCGGCGTCCCTCCTCCCAGGACGCCGACTAGACACCCAGGTCGGTGTCGGGACCCGACGCCCAGGTCGGCATCCGGACCCCTGGACGCCGTGCAGACGCCCACGACGTCGACGAGGCGTCCGGGTGGTCATGGCGACGCCCAGCTCGGCGCCGCCCAGGTGTCCATGGCGGCGTCCTCCTGCTCGGCGCCCTCCAGCCAGGCGCCTTCCAACTCGGCGCCCTTTCAGTGGCCCCCGTGCCCACTGCTACAGGTCGGCTACAACCTTCGCACATCCGACCACAAGGTTGGCTCCGCCCAAGCGAGGACGGGGCCTTACAACGCTCCCGTTGACAATTGCACCCTAAGTCCCCATACTGACTGGCCTGGCCAATGCACCATTTTCCCTATACATGTGCGTTAGATACCTTTCAAACCTTATTAGCTCATTATATTTATATATTTCCCACCTTTTGATCGAGTGAGACCGCTAGATTCCCTTTACTTTTTGAGAAATGAGCGTTTCCGTTCTCCCTAGCCCTACTTGCACTATAAGTACGAAATGCCGGCCAGACTGGCCGATGCATCATTTTCTATACACATGTGAGTTATTTACCTTTCAAACCCTTACGTTCACTAGATGAATATATTTCCTACCTTCTATTTGAGTGAGACCACTTGATTCCGTGTACTATGCGAGATCTGAGCGGTTCCGTTCTCCCAGGCATTTGCACTCTAAGTTCCCATACTGACCGACCTGGCGAATGCACCATCTTCCATATACATGTGCATTAGATACCTTTCAAACCCTATTAGCTGACTAGATTTATATGTTACCCACCTTCGGATTGAGTGAGACCGCTAGATTCCCTTTACTTTTTGAGAAATGAGCGTTTCCGTTCTCCCTGGCCCCACTTGCAATATAAGTGCGAAATGCCGGCCAGACTGGCCGATGCACCATTTTCTCTACACATGTGCGTTAGTTACCTTTCAAAAACTTACGTTCACCCGATTAATATACTCCTACCTTCTATTTGAGTGAGACCACTGGATTCCGTGTACTATGCGAGATCTGAGCGGTTCCGTTCTCCCAGGCATTTGCACTCTAAGTTCCCATACTGACCGACCTGGCCAATGCACGATATTCTATGTACATGTGCATTAGATACCTTTCGAACCTTATTAGATCACTATATTGATATATTTCCCACCTTCTGATCGAGTGAGACCGCTAGATTCTCTTTACTTTTTGAGAAATGAGCGTTTCCGTTCTCCCTGGCCCTACTTGCACTATAAGTGCGAAATGCCGGCCAAACTAGCCGATGCACCATTTTCTCTACACATGTGCGTTAGTTGTCAGAACATTATCGCTTATGCTATTTGTGTAGGCCATAGTGGGGTATCCCATAGGGGGTACAACCCAATTAGGGTTTCCTATATGTACTCGCTTCATTCATAGTTCATTCATTTCTCGTTTCGATTCTCACATGGTATCGAGCAGGTTCCCTCGTGGGAACTGTTCCTAAGGCCCTACTACTGCTTCCGCTGCTACTCGATTTGTCGCACGCCAACGGCGCGCGGCGATTTTCTTTCTGGCGCGCGCCCCGAGGCGCGCGGCCCCGCCTCTTTCATCGCGGCCCCGCCTCTCTCGTCGTGGCCCCGCCCTTCGTTCCGGCCCCTGCCGCCCTTCGTCGCGACCCCGCCACCCTGCCTTGCGGCCCCGCCGCCTCTCTTGACGCGGCCCCCGCCGCTCTTCTTAGCGGCCCTTGCCGCCCTTCGTCGCGGCCCCTGCCGCCATTCTCCACCGCGGCCCCGCCACCTCCCTTGTGAGCCCCGCCATTCTCCACCACTGGTGAGCCCCTGCATTACTAGCGCGCTGCCTGCTGCTTGCTTGGCTGCCTGCCTTACTGCTGCTACTCCTGCTCCTGCTTCTACTGGCGGCGGCCAGATGCAGCTCCAGCGACGCCCACGCGCGTCTCTCACGCCCCAGCAGCTTCGTGAGTGGTACGCTCAGAGTAGAGGGTCTCTCAGTTCTGTTCGCTGCTCTTACGTGATTCGCACTGGTGCTCGGACTGGTCAGCCTTGTGGGACGCCTAGTCACACACCGTCCCGCTGCTTCGCCCGTCTGAGCGACGCCTGGCGTACCGAGTTTGGCAACGAGGCTGATCTCTCCGACTGGGTGGAGTTGCTTAGGCAGAGGGTAGATATATTTGCTCTTGACTATGATGCTATTCTCACTGCCATGTATGCATTGCCTACTAGTGCTGACCGTGCCGGTCACCTGTTCATACCGCCTGACCCGGATATAGAGCCTGCTGCTCTGGCTGCTGGTGCGGCTGCTGCTCTTGGTGCTAGTGTGTCTCCTGCTCCAGGTACAGGTGCGGCTGCTGCTCTAGGTGCTAGGTGCTCAAGCTCCTGGACCAGGCAAGCTCGTGGACCAGGCAAGCTCTTGGACCAGGCAAGCTCTAGGACCAGGCAAGCTCCTGGACCAGGCAAGCTCGTGGACCAAGCAAGATCCTGGACCATGCAAGCTTGTGGTCCAGGACCTTGCCTGGTCCAGGAGCTTGCCTGGTACAAAAGCTTGCTTGGTCCAGAAGCCTGCCCGGTCCAAGAGCTTGCATGGTCCAGGAGTGTGCCTGGTCCAAGAGCTTGCATGGTCTAGGAGCTTGCGTGGTCCAGGATCTTGCCTTGTCCACGGGCTTGCGTGGTCCAGGAGCTTGCCTGGTCCACATCCACGTCCATGTCCACGTCCACGTCCACGTCCACGACCTCGTCCACGTCCACGTCCACGTCCACGTCCACGTCCATGTCCACGTCCACGTCCATGTCCACGTCCACGTCCACCTCCACGTCCACGTCCACGTCCACGTCCACGTCCACCTCCACGTCCACGTCCACGTCCACGTCCACCTCCACGTCCACCTCCACCTCCACGTCCACCTCCACGTCCACCTCCACGACCACATCCACGACCACATCCACGACCACGTCCACGTCCACGTCCACGACCACGTCCACGTCCAAGTCCACGTCCACGTCCACGTCCACGTCCACGTCCACGTCCACGACCACGTCCACGTCCACGTCCACGTCCACGTCCAGTCCACGTCCCACGTCCTCGTCCGCGTCCTCGTCCGCGTCCACGTCCGCGTCCACGTCCGCGTCCGCGTCCGCGTCCGCGTCCGCGTCCCCGTCCGCGTCCCCGTCCGCGTCCGCGTCCACGTCCAGTCCACGTCCAGTCCACGTCCACGTCCACGTCCACGTCCGCGTCCGCGTCCACGTCCGCGTCCGCGTCCGCGTCCACGTCCGCGTCCGCGTCCACGACCACGTCCGCGTCCGCGTCCGCGTCCGCGTCCACGCCGTCCACGTCCGCATCCACGCCCGCGTCTGCGTCCACGTCACCGTCCGCGTCCACGTCCGCGTCCGCGTCCACGTCCGCGTCCACATCCCCGTCCCTGTCCACGTCCGCGTCCATGTCCGCGTCCACGTCCACGTCCCTGTCCACGTCCGCGTCCGCGTCCTCGTCCGCGTCCGCGTCCACGTCCACGTCCGCGTCCGTGTCCTCGTCCACGTCCGCGTCCTTGTCCACGTCTGCATCTGCGTCCTCGTCCCCGTCCCTGTCCACGTCCATGTCCCCGTCCGCGTCCACGTCCCCGTCCACCTCCACGTCCATGTCCACGTCCACCTCCACGTCCATGTCCACGTCAACGTCAACGTCCACGTCCACGTCCACGTCCACGTCCAAGTCCACGTCCACGTCCACGTCCACGTCCATGTCCACGTCCACCTCCACGTCCACGTCCACGTCCACGTCCACGTCCACGTCCATGTCCACGTCCACGTCCACGTCCACGTCCACGTCCAAGTCCACGTCCACGTCTATGTCCACGTCCACGTCCACGTCCACGTCCAAGTCCACGACCACGTCCACGTCCACGTCCACGTCCAACTCCTCGTCCAAGTCCTCCACGTCCACGTCCACGTCCACGTCCATGTCCACGTCCACGTCCACGTCCACGTCCATGTCCACGTCCAAGTCCTCCACGTCCACGTCCACGTCCATGTCCACGTCAACGTCCACGTCCACGTCAACGTCCACGTCTACGACCAGGTCCACATCCACGTCCATGTCCACGTCCACGTCCACGTCCACGTCCAGGTCCACGTCCATGTCCACGTCCACGTCCACGTCCACGTCCACCTCCACGTCCACGTCCACGTCCATGTCCACGTCCACGTCCACGTCCACGTCCACGTCCATGTCCATGTCCATGTCCATGTCCACGTCCACGTCCACGTCCACGTCCATGTCCATGTCCATGTCCATGTCCATGTCCACGTCCACGACCACGTCCCTGTCCACATCCACGTCCACGTCCACATCCGCGTGCATGTCCACATCCACGTCCACGTCCACGTCCACGTCCATGTCCACGTCCACGTCCACGTCCACGTCCACGACAACGTCCACGTCCACGTCCACGTCCACGTCCACGTCCATGTCCACGTCCATGTCCACGTCCACGTCCATGTCCACGTCCACGTCCACGTCCACGTCCATGTCCACGTCCACGTCCACGTTCACGTCCATGTCCACGTCCACGTCCACGTCCATGTCCACGTCCACGTCCATGTCCACGTCCACGTCTACGTCCAAGTCCTCCACGTCCAAGTCCACGTCCACGTCCATGTCCACATCCACGTCCATGTCCACGTCCACGTCCACGTCCATGTCCATGTCCACGTCCACGTCCACGTCCACATCCACGTCCACGTCCACGTCCACGTCCATGTCTACGTCCACGTCCACGTCCACGTCCATGTCCATGTCCACGTCCACCTCCACCTCCACGTCCACGTCCACGTCCACGTCCATGTCCACGTCCACGTCGACGTCGACGTCGACGTCCACGTCCAAGTCCACGTCCACGTCCACGTCCACGTCCATGTCCACGTCCACGTCCACGTCCACGTCCATGTCCACGTCCACGTCCACGTCCACGTCCACGTCCACGTCCATGTCCATGTCCAGTCCCACGTCCACGTCCACGTCCACGTCCACGTCCACGTCCACGTCCACGTCCATGTCCACGTCCACGTCCACGTCCACGTCCACGTCCACGTCCACGTCCACGTCCAGGTCCACGTCCACGTCCACGTCCAGGTCCACGTCCACGTCCACGTCCATGTCCACGTCCACGTCCACGTCCACGTCCACGTCCATGTCCACGTCCACGTCCACGTCCACGTCGACGTCCACGTCCACGTCCAAGTCCACGTCCACATCCACGTCCACGACCACGTCCACGTCCACGTCCATGTCCATGTCCATGTCCACGTCCACGTCCACGTCCACGTCCATGTCCAAGTCCACGTCCACATCCACGTCCATGTCCACGTCCACGTCCACGTCCACGACCTCGTCCACGTCCACGTCCACGTCCACGTCCACGTCCACGTCCATGTCCACGTCCACTTCTACGGCCACGTCCATGTCCAAGTCCACGTCCACGTCCACGTCCACGTCCACGTCCACGTCCATGTCCATGTCCACGTCCACGTCCACGTCCACGTCCACGTCCATGTCCATGTCCACGTCGATGTCCACGTCCACGTCCACGACCACGTCCACGTCCACGTCCACGTCCATGTCCACGTCCATGTCCACGTCCATGTCCACGTCCACGTCCACGTCTACGTCCACGTCCATGTCCACGTCCACGTACACGTCCACATCCACGTCCACGTCCACGTCCACGACCATGTCCACGTCCACGACCACGTCCACGTCCACGTCCACGACCACGTCCACGTCCACGTCCACGACCACGTCCACGTCCACGTCCAAGTCCTCCACGTCCATGTCCACGTCCACGTCCACGTCCATGTCCACGTCCACGTCCAAGTCCTCCACGTCCACGTCCTCCACGTCCACGTCCACGTCCATGTCCACGTCCACGTCCATGTCCACGTCCACGTCCACGTCCACTTCCACGTCCATGTCCATGTCCACGTCCACGTCCACGTCCACGTCCACGTCCATGTCCACGTCCACGTCCACGTCCACGTCCATCTCCACGTCCACGTCCACGTCCACGTCCACGTCCACGTCCACCTCCACGTCCACGTCCACGTCCAGTCCACGTCCACGCCCACGTCCATGTCCACGTCCACGTCCACGTCTATGTCCACGTCCAAGTCCTCCACATCCACGTCCACGTCCATGTCCACGTCAACGTCCACGTCCACGTCAACGTCCACGTCTACGACCAGGTCCACATCCACGTCCATGTCCACGTCCACGTCCACGTCCAGGTCCACGTCCATGTCCACTTCCACGTCCACGTCCACGTCCACGTCCAGGTCCACGTCCATGTCCACTTCCACGTCCACGTCCACGTCCACGTCCAGGTCCACGTCCACGTCCACGTCCACGTCCATGTCCACGTCAACGTCCACGTCCACGTCCATGTCCATGTCCACGTCAACGTCCACGTCCACGTCAACGTCCACGTCTACGACCAGGTCCACATCCACGTCCATGTCCACGTCCACGTCCACGTCCACGTCCACGTCCAGGTCCACGTCCATGTCCACGTCCACGTCCACGTCCACGTCAGTCCAGGTCCACGTCCACGTCCAGGTCCACGTCCACGTCCATGTCCACGTCCACGTCCACGTCACGTCCACGTCCATGTCCATGTCCATGTCCACGTCCACGTCCACGTCCACGTCCATGTCCATGTCCATGTCCATGTCCACGTCCACGACCACGTCCCTGTCCACATCCACGTCCACGTCCACGTCCGCGTGCATGTCCACGTCCACGTCCACGTCCATATCCATGTCCACGTCCACGTCCACGTCCACGTCCACGTCTACGACCACGTCCACGTCCACGTCCACGTCCACGTCCACGTCCACGTCCACGTCCATGTCCACGTCCATGTCCACGTCCACGTCCACGTCCATGTCCACGTCCACGTCTTCCATGTCCACGTCCACGTCCACGTTCACGTCCATGTCCACGTCCACGTCCACGTCCACGTCCATGTCCACGTCCACGTCCATGTCCACGTCCATGTCTACGTCCAAGTCCTCCACGTCCAAGTCCACGTCCACGTCCATGTCCACATCCACGTCCATGTCCACGTCCACGTCCACGTCCATGTCCATGTCCACGTCCACGTCCACGTCCACATCCACGTCCACGTCCACGTCCATGTCTACGTCCACGTCCACGTCCACGTCCACGTCCATGTCCACGTCCACGTCCACGTCCACGTCCACGTCCACGTCCATGTCGACGTCCACGTCCAAGTCCACGTCCACGTCCACGTCCATGTCCACGTCCACGTCCACATCCACGTCCATGTCCACGTCCACGTCCACGTCCACGTCCACGTCCATGTCCATGTCCAGTCCACGTCCACGTCCACGTCCACGTCCACGTCCATGTCCACGTCCACGTCCACGTCCACGTCCACGTCCAAGTCCACGTCCACGTCCACGTCCACGACCACGTCCACGTCCACGTCCACGTCCATGTCCATGTCCATGTCCACGTCCACGTCCACGTCCACGTCCATGTCCACGTCCACGTCCACATCCACGTCCATGTCCACGTCCACGTCCACGTCCACGACCTCGTCCACGTCCACGTCCACGTCCACGTCCACGTCCATGTCCACGTCCACGTCCACGGCCACGTCCATGTCCAAGTCCACGTCCACGTCCACGTCCACGTCCACGTCCATGTCCATGTCCACGTCCACGTCCACGTCCACGTCCATGTCCACGTCCACGTCGATGTCCACGTCCACGTCCACAACCACGTCCACGTCCACGTCCACGTCCATGTCCACGTCCATGTCCACGTCCATGTCCACGTCCACGTCCACGTCCATGTCCACGTCCACGTACACGTCCACATCCACGTCCACGTCCACGACCATGTCCACGTCCACGACCACGTCCACGTCCACGACCACGTCCACGTCCACGTCCACGTCCACGACCCACGTCCACGTCCACGTCCAAGTCCTCCACGTCCATGTCCACGTCCACGTCCACGTCCATGTCCACGTCCACGTCCAAGTCCTCCACGTCCACGTCCTCCACGTCCACGTCCACGTCCATGTCCACGTCCACGTCCATGTCCACGTCCACGTCCACGTCCACTTCCACGTCCATGTCCATGTCCACGTCCACGTCCACGTCCACGTCCACGTCCATGTCCACGTCACGTCCACGTCCACGTCCATCTCCACGTCCACGTCCACGTCCACGTCCACCTCCACGTCCACGTCCACGTCCAGTCCACGTCCACGTCCACGTCCATGTCCACGTCCACGTCCACGTCCACGTCTATGCCCACGTCCATGTCCACGTCCACGTCCATGTCCACGTCCATGTCCACGTCCACGTCCACGTCCACGTCAACGTCTACGTCCATGTCCACGTCCACGTCCACGTCCACGTCCACGTCCTGGTCCAGGTCCACGTCCTCGTCAACGTCCACGACCAGGTCCACGTCCATGTCCACGTTCACGTCCATGTCCACGTCCACGTCCATGTCCACGTCCACGTCCACGTCCATGTCCACGTCCATGTCCACGTCCACGTCCATGTCCACGTCCATGTCCACGTCCACGTCCACGTCCATGTCCACGTCCACGTCCACGTCCACGTCTACGTCCATGTCCACGTCCACGTCCACGTCCACGTCCACGTCCACGTCCACGTCCAGGTCCACGTCCACGTCCACGTCCACGTCCACGACCAGGTCCACGTCCACGTCCACGTCCACGTTCACGTCCATGTCCACGTCCACGTCCATGTCCACGTCCACGTCCACGTCCACGTCCATGTCCACGTCCACGTCCATGTCCACGTCCACGTCCACGTCCACGTCCATGTCCACGTCCATGTCCACGTCCACGTCCATGTCCACGTCCACGTCCATGTCCACGTCCACGTCCATGTCCACGTCCACGTCCATGTCCACGTCCACGTCCATGTCCACGTCCACGTCCACGTCCACGTCCACGTCCATGTCCACGTCCACGTCCACGTCCACGTCCATGTCCACGTCCATGTCCACGTCCACGTCCATGTCCACGTCCACGTCCATGTCCACGTCCACGTCCATGTCCACGTCCACGTCCACGTCCACGTCCACGTCCATGTCCACGTCCACGTCCACGTCCATGTCCACGTCCACGTCCACGTCTACGTCCATGTCCACGTCCACGTCCACGTCCACGTCCACGTCCAGGTCCACGTCCACGTCCACGTCCACGACCAGGTCCACGTCCACGTCCATGTCCACGTCCACGTCCATGTCCACGTCCACGTCTACGTCCAGGTCCACGTCCACGTCCACGTCCATGTCCACGTCCACGACCAGGTCCACGTCCACGTCCACGTCCACGTTCACGTCCATGTCCACGTCCACGTCCATGTCCACGTCCACGTCCATGTCCACGTCCACGTCCATGTCCACGTCCACGTCCATGTCCACGTCTATGCCCACGTCCATGTCCACGTCCACGTCCACGTCCACGTCTACGTCCACGTCCACGTCCACGTCCACATCCCCACGTCCAGGTCCACGTCCACGTCCACGTCCACGTCCACGACCAGGTTCCACGTCCACGTCCACGTCCACGTTCACGTCCATGTCCACGTCCACGTCCATGTCCACGTCCACATCCACGTCCATGTCTATGTCCACGTCCACGTCCATGTCCACGTCCAAGTCCACGTCCAGGTCCACGTCCACGTCCACGTCCACGTCCATGTCCATGTCCACGTCCACGTCCACGTCCATGTCCACGTCCACGTCCACGTCCAGGTCCACGTCCACGTCCACGTCCATGTCCACGTCCACGACCAGGTCCACGTCCACGTCCACGTCCACGTTCACGTCCATGTCCACGTCCACCTCCATGTCCACGTCCACGTCCACGTCCACGTCCACGTCCATGTCCACGTCCACGTCCATGTCCACGTCCACGTCCACGTCCACGTCCATGTCCACGTCCATGTCCACGTCCAGGTCTAGGTCCACGTCCACGTCCATGTCCACGTCCACGTCCACGTCCACGTCCACGTCCACGTCCACGTCCACGTCCACGTCCACGACCATGTCCACGTCCACGTCCACGTCCACGTCCATGTCCACGTCCATGTCCACGTCCACGTCCACGTCCACGTCCACGTCCATGTCCACGTCCACGTCCACGTCCACGTCCACGTCCACATCCACGTCCACGTCCACGTCCACGACCATGTCCACGTCCACGACCACGTCCACGTCCACGTCTACGTCCACGTCCCGGTCCACGTCCACGACCATGTCCACGTCCACGTCCAAGTCCTCCACGTCCATGTCCACGTCCACGTCCTCGTCCATGTCCACGTCCACGTCCACGTCCATGTCCACATCCAAGTCCTCCACGTCCACGTCCACGTCCACGTCTAGGTCCACGTCCACGTCCATGTCCACGTCCATGTCCACGTCCACGTCCACGTCCACATCCAGGTCCACGTCCATGTCCACGTCCACGTCCACGTCCACGTCCACGTCCATGTCCACGTCCATCTCCACGTCCACGTCCACGTCCACGTCCACGTCCACGTCCATGTCCATGTCCAGTCCACGTCCACGTCCATGTCCACGTCCACGTCCACGTCCACGTCCACGTCCACATCCATGTCCATGTCCAGTCCACGTCCACGTCCACGTCCACGTCCACGTCCATGTCCACGTCCACGTCCACGTCCACGTCCACGTCCAAGTCCACGTCCACGTCCACGTCCACGACCACGTCCACGTCCACGTCCATGTCCATGTCCACGTCCACGTCCCGTCCATGTCCACGTCCACGTCCACATCCACGTCCATGGTCCACGTCCACGTCCACGTCCACGACCTCGTCCACGTCTACGTCCATGTCCACGTCCACGTCCACGTCCACGTCCACGTCCAGTCCACGTCCACGTCCACGTCCACGTCCACGTCCACGTCCACGTCCAGTCCACGTCCACGTCCACGTCCATGTCCACGTCCACGTCCACGTCTACGTCCATGTCCACGTCCACGTCCACGTCCACGTCCAGGTCCACGTCCACGTCCACGTCCACGTCCACGTCCACGTCCATGTCCACGTCCACGTCCACGGCCACGTCCATGTCCAAGTCCACGTCCACGTCCACGTCCACGTCCACGTCCACGTCCATGTCCATGTCCACGTCCACGTTCACGTCCACGTCCACGTCCATGTCCACGTCCACGTCGATGTCCACGTCCACGTCCACGACCACGTCCACGTCCACGTCCACGTCCATGTCCACGTCCATGTCCACGTCCATGTCCACGTCCACGTCCACGTCCACGTCCACGTCCATGTCCACGTCCACGTACACGTCCACATCCACGTCCACGTCCACGTCCACGACCATGTCCACGTCCACGACCACGTCCACGTCCACGACCACGTCCACGTCCACGTCCACGTCCACGACCACGTCCACGTCCACGTCCAAGTCCTCCACGTCCATGTCCACGTCCACGTCCACGTCCATGTCCACGTCCACGTCCAAGTCCTCCACGTCCACGTCCTCCACGTCCACGTCCACGTCCATGTCCACGTCCACGTCCATGTCCACGTCCACGTCCACGTCCACTTCCACGTCCATGTCCATGTCCACGTCCACGTCCACGTCCACGTCCATGTCCACGTCCACGTCCACGTCCACGTCCATCTCCACGTCCACGTCCACGTCCACGTCCACGTCCACGTCCACCTCCACGTCCACGTCCACGTCCAGTCCACGTCCACGTCCACGTCCACGTCCACGTCCACGTCTATGCCCACGTCCATGTCCACGTCCACGTCCATGTCCACGTCCATGTTCACGTCCACGTCCACGTCCACGTCAACGTCTACGTCCATGTCCACGTCCACGTCCACGTCCACGTCCTGGTCCAGGTCCACGTCCTCGTCCACGTCCACGACCAGGTCCACGTCCATGTCCACGTTCACGTCCATGTCCACGTCCACGTCCATGTCCACGTCCACGTCCACGTCCATGTCCACGTCCATGTCCACGTCCACGTCCATGTCCACGTCCATGTCCACGTCACGTCCACGTCCATGTCCACGTCCACGTCCACGTCCCGTCTACGTCCATGTCCACGTCCACGTCCACGTCCACGTCCACGTCCAGTCCACACGTCCACGTCCACGTCCACGTCCACGTCCACGACCAGGTCCACGTCCACGTCCACGTCCACGTTCACACGTCCATGTCCACGTCCACGTCCATGTCCACGTCCACGTCCACGTCCACGTCCATGTCCACGTCCACGTCCATGTCCACGTCCACGTCCACGTCCACGTCCATGTCCACGTCCATGTCCACGTCCACGTCCATGTCCACGTCCACGTCCATGTCCACGTCCACGTCCATGTCCACGTCCACGTCCATGTCCACGTCCACGTCCTGTCCACGTCCACGTCCACGTCCACGTCCATGTCCACGTCCACGTCCACGTCCATGTCCACGTCCATGTCCACGTCCACGTCCATGTCCACGTCCACGTCCATGTCCACGTCCACGTCCATGTCCACGTCCACGTCCATGTCCACGTCCACGTCCATGTCCACGTCCACGTCCACGTCCATGTCCACGTCCACGTCCACGTCTACGTCCATGTCCACGTCCACGTCCACGTCCACGTCCACGTCCAGGTCCACGTCCACGTCCACGTCCACGACCAGGTCCACGTCCACGTCCATGTCCACGTCCACGTCCATGTCCACGTCCACGTCCACATCCAGGTCCACGTCCACGTCCACGTCCATGTCCACGTCCACGACCAGGTCCACGTCCACGTCCACGTCCACGTTCACGTCCATGTCCACGTCCACGTCCATGTCCACGTCCACGTCCATGTCCACGTCCACGTCCATGTCCACGTCCACGTCCATGTCCACGTCTATGCCCACGTCCATGTCCACGTCCACGTCCACGTCTACGTCCATGTCCACGTCCACGTCCACATCCACGTCCAGTCCACGTCCACGTCCACGTCCACGTCCACGACCAGGTCCACGTCCACGTCCACGTTCACGTCCATGTCCACGTCCACGTCCATGTCCACGTCCACGTTCACGTCCATAGTCTATGTCCACGTCCACGTCCATGTCCACGTCCAAGTCCACGTCCAGGTCCACGTCCACGTCCCAGTCCACGTCCATCTCCACGTCCACGTCCATGTCCACGTCACGTCCACGTCCGTCGTCCACGTCCACGTCCACGTCCATGTCCACGTCCCACGACAGGTCCACGTCCACGTCCACGTCCCGTTCACGTCCTGTCCACGTCCACCTCCATGTCCACCACGTCCACGTCCACGTCCACGTCCACGTCCATGTCCACGTCCACGTCCAGGTCCACGTCCACGTCCACATCCACGTCCATGTCCCTCCATGTCCACGTCCAGGTCTAGGTCCACGTCCACGTCCATGTCCACGCCCACGTCCACGTCCACACGTCCACGTCCACGTCCACGTCCACGTCCCGACCACGTCCACGTCCACGTCCACGTCCACGTCCATGTCCACGTCCATGTCCACGTCCACGTCACAGTCCACGTCCACGTCCACGACACCACGTCCACGTCCACATCCCGTCCACGTCCACGTCCACGACCATGTCCACGTCCACGACCACGTCCACGTCCACGTCTACGTCCACGTCCCGGTCCACGTCCACGTCCACGACCACGTCCACGTCCACGTCCAAGTCCTCCACGTCCATGTCCACGTCCTCGTCCATGTCCACGTCCACGTCCACGTCCATGTCCACATCCAAGTCCTCCACGTCCACGTCCACGTCCACGTCTAGGTCCACGTCCACGTCCATGTCCACGTCCATGTCCACGTCCACGTCCACGTCCACATCCAGGTCCACGTCCATGTCCACGTCCACGTCCACGTCCACGTCCATGTCCACGTCCATCTCCACGTCCAAGTCCTCCACGTCCTCGTCCACGTCCACGTCCATGTCCAAGTCCACGTC